AAAAAAAAAAAAAAAAAAGAAAAAGGCAAGAAAGTAAAAGATAAATTGGCAATGCTTCTCCATTGGCTCTCGAGTGTCGATTTCTTGACCAATAGCAATCCGCGCTGGGTAACTCTATAGATGATACATATATGTACACATACTGGGCCACTTCGCGTCTAATTCATTTGAAACGAACTGTATAACGAAATGTGGGCTTAGGGCGCCATTTCTCAAAGCGAATGCCAGTCGGCTTTTCCGTTCGCGAATAGTTGCCTGGGGTTACTGGCGCATATATAGATATATGCGCGTGTATATTTATACATATATATAAGGCATATATGCCATGCATAGACATATGTATATAACCATATATAAACTCGTGGCACTTTGACAGAGCCTAGACGCGGTCAAATGCAAATTCAACGCGCTTTTAATGACTTTTGAAACACCCTATAGATATATCTTTGGATATACGAGCGTGTGCCTTCACTTTGTTTGCTTTGAATATTAACGTTTGAGGTTAGGCAGGTGGATTGAAAAAGCTTCGAGATTTTATTTTGAAGCAATCGAGTCAATTTGAAAATTCAAATTTGATTACTACAATATCCCGCGCGTTAACGCGTAAAATTACGTAAACATATTGTAGAATGAAGTTTTTGCAAATAATAAGATACTGATGGATTGCTATTATATTTTTATAAGGATTCTGCATATTTATCAGATATCAAAATTGATACTCGACTTATTGCCCGACACGATAAACGTTTTGCCAATAAATTTATTTTCAATGAATATAACTCCGGCGGAAGGATTTGTGCCGAGTAGACGCGAGTGTGGAACTTTCGAAAAAAAATTTATCAGTTTGCGATTTTTTTTTTTTTTTTTTTTTTATCAAGTGCACGGAACTTTTCGAACTTCTTTTTTTATTCTGGTTGGATCCAACGAAAATTAGTCCGTTTCAAGAGTCAAGATAACTTTGGTAAATTGGTCATGGTTTACGTTTGTGCTCGCGCAGGCATTTATTGCCTTTTAAATTAGATACGGTATACATATGTGTGTATAGTGTCGAATATACATATAGATATTGCTGGATTGCTGGATTGCAAAAAAAATTTATTGAATATAGCATTTAAATTTCTACGGTGAATTACACACGTGGTCCCGTGTGCCATTAAGTATATGTCATGCATTTTTTTTTACGGCTATTGTCTCGTCATTGTTTTTGTTGATTTATTATTGTTCGATGAAATTCTAAATTAATTATTTAAATTTTTAAATAACCTGTAAACAACTGCATCTAGTGCACAGTCTACGCGTGGATCGTAGTCTTGTAAATTGAACTACTTGGCAAACCAAAGCCAAATTATATCAGCGAAGCCATTAATGATCTGTATGAGAAGGTTGATTTTCATCGATCCTCATTAATGGTACAGTAATGAACGATGGGTTGGTTTCCACGTGATTGTTATCACTGTAGGTAGACTTACCATTATATATTTATACTTTTAACAAACATTTCTTTAACTTCGTATCGAAGTTATCGTGCTTTCTCTTTACAGCTTCTAATCGATATACGTTGCGTGAAAACTATGCTAAGTTGTACAGAGTTGCAATTAGAAAAATAAAATAAAACTTGCTTTCTTAATATACTCCAATCATTAAAGTTGTGCAAAAAGTTTGCTAATTCTCTTCAAGCATTTTATAAGGTTGTGAAAAGAAAAACTACTGGTACGTTGTATCGAAATTGTACAAAATTATCGAGCGCGAGCTTTTGTAATTTTGAAAAAAAAAAACCAAAAAAAAAATTGAGCTACAAAAAAATTGTTAGAAAATTATATAAAACAGTGAAAAATTCTTATACAGAAAATTAACGGATTTTAGTGCCCAGGTGATATAGTCTAGATTAATTCGCAAAGTGGTGAAAAATAAAGAAAATCAGTACTCGGTATCAGGCAATAATAAATCGTTCGAAAAAAAAGACGTATACGTGAATACAAAAAAAAATCGAACAAATAATTTATTTGACAACGAGAAATGTAGCAGTCGTGTTGTTATTTAACGAAGCGTCTTACCATCATCCCTGTAGAAACGGCTATACCCCGTCCGCAGTAAGTGTTCGGTACGATGTCACCGAAACCGACGCTGAGAAACGTGATGGCGATAAGCCACATTGCGTTTAGGAGGTTTGCGTGCTCCTCGTCATGAAACCTAACGATTTAACGTAGCCAACCAACATTACAAAGGAATATTCCTCTTTGGTGTGGATGCGTGATAATGGTGTACGAAGAACCCCGAGATAAGTATTAATTTTTTTTTACCAGCAGAAAACTTTTTAATATGGCGAAGAAGAATCTGGCCGGTAAGACGTTACGAGGAGTTCGTAGATGGCGCTGAGAATATATATATATATATATATATATATATATATATATATATATATTATTGAGCCTGAAATTTTGCAGACCCGAAAACCCGGATTATTTGGGCTTTAGATTGACTTCGGTAGTACTGGTTAACATAGGACGATAAGCTATTTATATATATATATATATGTTTGATACATACGTAATTGGGAATCGGTACTGATAAGCTGTTTTAAGTAAAATAGGTAAAAGGACATGGTGAATTCGTTTGAAACGTATTTTTAAATAGCTGTTAATGATTTTCTGTTAGGGATGATTGCGACGAACGTTTATTTAGTTTTAAGGAGGATAAATTTTTCGGGATTTTTAAAAAATATTTTTTGTTAATTCTTTTAGAGGAATTTTGAGGAATGGATGCTTTACGATTAGTTATCCCTTCACGGATGGTGCAATGAATAATCGCTGCATTGTTATTGGCGGAAGCTTTTCGCGCGTGAATTAAAAAAAAAAAGATATTAATTAAACACATAAATCATGGTAAAAGCACATAATCGGCAATAATTTTGCACACAGTGTAGATCGGCACGCGTGCCTATGCTTACACCTCAGCCATTAGTCGCGCAGCCAAAGTGCATTCACGCCCTGTTAATGCAAGATTCAATGCTGCATAATTCATGTGATTTTGCTATTTCAGTTTTTCCATAGTCAAACAGACCAAGACACCCGAGTTGCGCGTCTCGCGGCGCCGTTGCTCGGCTAGACGGCGCCCGATCGGCTTCAGTCTTCACGCTGGCCGATTCGCCGTCAAACTTACCGTCATCCCACATGCCAGAGTGATCCCACGTCCGCAATACGTATTCGGCACGATGTCGCCATATCCGACGCAGAGAAAGGTGATCGCTATCAGCCACATGGAGTTCAGGAGGTTCTCGTGTTCGGGGTCGTGGAACCTGCAGGCGGAGACAGAGCACCGGTGCACACACGACAACATCGAACACACCGGACAACATTGACGCGTTTGCTGGATCCTTTGCTTTCTGAGCTAACCTATAACCTGCTCGGTTCGTTCGGTGAGGCAATTCTCATTGACAATTTATAGAATTAATTTCATTTCTCCTGCGTAACTTTTTCCCCTCATTCCTTTTCCTTTACTCTTTCGCTAGTCTCCCGGTAAGCTTCATCCGTCAATTGGAAATTGCCTTTCTGCCGATCGATCAGAACCCCATGTAACTTTCTTATCTCTCCAATTGCTCCTTCTGCCGGATACACTTCGTGCCGTCTCTTTTGGGACGACGCCCACGGTTTATCCGCGTCCCTCTTCCGGATTTGCTTTCGCGTTCTATACCCGTTGGCCGAATTATTAAATTCCACGCAGCTCTGCTATGTTCACGTATCGGCGACACAAACTTTTTACCGAGTTTTCCCTCTGCCGAACTTTTTTCACATTTTCGAATACAAGCACGTTCGGCTTGTCTTGCTTTGCTGTAAATAGGGATAGCGGCTTGTGTAAACGGTGGAACAAGAATGGACCCGGATAACCTTTTTTCTTTGGCAAACTTTATAAACTAATTGGTGAAAATTTAATTTTTACTACATTTTTTTACTTTATTCTATACCCGTCAGGCTTGTACGCTTGTATGTATATGCTATATGTATATTTTACATACATAACTTTGTATGACTTTAAACTAATTTCGAATATAACTGAAACTGTGTTCAAGCTGTTTTGCAATTATGCATACATTTCGAGCATATGTTTTGCATGATAAGGGGATTAAGTTATTTGGACTGATTAATCAACGTAGTGAATTTCAAAGTAACGTAAATTACCACGTGTATCCTTGAGATAAAAGTTACATGGGGTTTCAATAACGATAATATTTTTGTCTCACAATATTTCCAATCGAAAACCTATTACTAATCACGAATTCGCCACCGAATAAAACAATTTCTACGCCTGAATTTATGAAAATTCATAAGCATTCAATTTTAAATTGCGACAACGTGTATAGTTACACATTTTCTTTTTGCTGCCACGAACACTAAGTATACCTAAAAAATTGTGACGGATCATCGAAATACGTGTAACAAGCAAAAATTTAATTCAACGTAAATGCATTGTGCATCGCCGGTGCATCATAACGATTTTACATGACCTCCCATTAGGATCTTCAGGTTCAAGTCCATCGTAATTTATTTAACGGATGCGGCTATCAGTACCAGTACATTGCAGCGGTGAACAGTCCTGCCTTAAATTGGCTGAAACGTGGTAATGAGGTAAACGTTGCATAATGCATCAACGACACGACGACCATAAGTCGGTTGTATATCAAGACTGTATAGCTGCTATTATATAAATAAAAGATCAGAATTTTAGCGTCGAAGGATAAGCTCGATATCCATGTAAGTAGACGCGATCGTAACGTCGCGACGCTGGTTATGCAACTGATTGTCTTTATTGCGTAACATGTTCCGTTCGGAGAAAAAAAGAACAAGCGGAGCGTCGACGAGAAGCGATAAAAAAAAGTTTTGTGTCGAAACAAAAAAATTGTATCAGTCGACCAATCCCAAGACAGAATTTGGAACAATAGGGTTTTTGATTTTTATTTTATTTTGCTACGGATTATTGTTGCACGGATATATGGCGCATGACTTGTCACGGTTCAGACATATTTTTGCGTATACTTGTATGGATATTTTATTGTATGCAAAACATGGATGCTGAAGAGTAGCGTCGCGACGCCGCGCATCTCTTTCCTGTTCCGCGACGTCCTTTATGGAAATTCTCTCGAATGGATTTGCCTTGCGCGAGTCGTACGGGTTCTATGCAGCTTCGGGCCGAGAGCAATATGCAGATTTTGTGCATCGATACGGAATGCATCGTTGCACAAAGCAACACTATGAATACGTACTGTTAAAATGGACTTGGCAAAGCCGTAGTAATAAAATTTTGTGTGCATGAATGAAAAATTGCGAAATTCTAATAAGATTTTTGTTATCGATAATGAGTATTTTTATTAATTTTTTTTGCAATCTATTAAGTTTTTAATGATTTTTTTTTTATCGTTATCTTCCCAGGTAACGTTTCCACGGAAATGTCAAGAGTATTTTTGAAAAATAATGCATTGGTTGAGATCACGTTATCGCAATTTAAAGTTTGGCCTACGTAATCCCGATCTGATGAATAATTTTTATTAAATTATACATGTGTAACATAGAATAGAAACATGTATAAAGTAGAAATGACGAACAGTAAAAGTTTCTAGTAAGTTACGAGGAGGCGGATGGACGCAAGATGATGCATTGCGTTAAATTGACAATTAACAAAACAAGCACATAACCACACCGACACATCACCAGATATTTTGGCACTGAGGCATCCATAAAGTAATTTCGAAAATAATTTTCCAAAAAATATTATATTTTCATTTAACGAAGAGAAAACATGAATTTCGTATGAGTATCAGGATACCTTAGAAAATATATGTCTGCAATTTTTATTTTTTTTTATAATTTCCCAACCAATAATTTTTTCAGCTTGCACACACAGCATTGCGATATTTATGATATTTACCATATAACCAATAATATCTAATTATCATTTCTCTCTTATCAGGTAATCATGATATGTCATAGTACGTACAGCTGAATTGTAAAGAAAAACATCAATTACCTTATGCCTGCCTCTAAGCAAAGTGATTTTTGTCATGGAATAATTTTTTGTCAAAAAAAAATTCTTAGTATTAATTTAACAACGTACAATTAATTAAGTGTGACGTATATACATAGCCGAAACACGCAACGAGTATTTTACATAGAAAACGTCAAGGGACGGGGGCAACATTATCAATCAGGCAACATTTAATAATTAATTTTTTGCAATAAATTACAGATTCACGTAAAGTGTTCGTGGGATTACGTAATTAATGAATATGTACACAAAGGACCAAGGAGGGTTCATATGTTCGGTCAATTAAGGTCGAGAATTGATTTAAGTGATTTTGTCCCTGCATAATTTTTAACTATTAACGTCCGACCATTTACCTAGATATTCACATACGTTTACTCGAATCACATAAATTTTTAATATTATGCACGTTGAACAGTATATGCGATAGAAATCGATTATGCGAACGAATCAATGTCAGGGTTGAAAAAGTAATGAATAATAAATATTTTTTATCACGATATCATCCACGTGTGTAGAATATTTATATGTATGTGGATTCTTGCAGTGGCTCATATGTGGCACATGTCACGAGATACCATTACGAAATGATAACAAACAATTTTTTTTTGCGAATTTCCCCGAAAGTAATTTACGTATTGTGCGAATGAATTTTCGCGTGTATGTTTGTGTAGTATTTCAAATTTTTTTTCAATCGTGACTATGATTGAGGGAATCCTGTTTTTCTTCATTTTTTTTCTATTTCGTCTGGTCAGACTCAACAAATCGTTTTTTTTCTGTTCTGTCGATATTGATTTGCAGTATCGTCCCGTTAGAAAGCTGAAAGCTGAAGTTCGAATTGTTTTAAGGTCCATTTATACACGTAAACAATTCGGTCATTGAACTTGTTCGACTTGTGTAAGGGATAGCAGTGAGAGATTACGTAAGAGTGATAAATTTTCGAAAAACTTTTTTACTGTAATCTAAAAAAATGTACGTGACGATGCCTATGGTTGATGTGATTTACAAATATTAGGGTGATATATTGTTATTATCCCTTTTGTTTTTTTTTTTTTTCATATTTAACGGATTTAGCGTTATGCGTTGTATACGTAAGAGAAAACTATTCCCGTTTATTTTTTTTTTTGATTGATGATCAAAAAGAAATGATAATCAAGATTTTACTGTATACGTGTATACGTGTGTTTGATTCATATGAATTTTTTATTGAGAATCTGTACTATGCTATTAACAGGTATGCTTGATGCTGCGGTGAGATTATGAACTTCAAGTCGAGCATAGTATAGCTGAGTAAATTTATTTTTTTCAAATTTGAAATTGCTTTATGCCCTACTACAGGCATTTTCTGAAGTTGTGCCATTGGAAGAGATCTTGATGATATTTTTCCAGAACTATGAACTTTATAACAAGTTACAAGAGTGATTTGCACATTTTCGCGAGAACAGTCAGTTGTTTGCGCGGAGACGATTTTTCATTGTTCAGCATAAATGTCATTAGTCACGACTAACGTAGCCAAAAACCTATAAAATTATACAGGATGTTTTATGGAGTTATTAATGACAGCGTTAAACGCTGCATAACGTTCTACGTACGTAATGGACGGTGCCATTTAGTATATAAAAAAAATAATTTTCGAAAATATCTTCATAGGACGTACAAAATTTTTTTTTGGAATTTAGTCGATCAAAAAATCAATGCTTACAAGCGGCGCGCGTCAGTGCGTTTTACAAGCGAAGATACTGACTATACAGTTTTACACATCAGCGAATATACAGCATAGAAAAACGATAATACTCCTGTGCATACGTTCATTTTTGTACGATGCTATTTATATTTTAACGGAGCGACGTTTCCTTCATAAATAATTCTCACTGTGCAAAGATGTCGAGAAGGATTGGCGGCGGTCGATGAGACGGTACTTGAGGTATAAAAACAACCTTGTTGGCCTGCACTTCTTTGTATGCCGTAAATAGGCCGTTGAAATAAGACGGTACAAAAACAACAACAAAATTGTGCAAGTCGATTAACTCATTTTTAGGTCATTTTTATAGTTCATGCTATGATTTGGTGCTTGTTAATTTTTATAATTTTTGTTACGCTACTTCAAGGTCACTCCTGAGACAAGTACAAGAATTGTGCAAAAACAAGAATCACTTTTGTAACGAAGAACATTGTCACTGTTGGATTTGAGTTTGCGTCAGGTTTGGATTGTAGGGACGAAATTATTGAAAAATAATATTATCGACTTACGAATGACAGGAA